GGGACTGCAGCTCCAGTCCCCAAGCCGGGACTGCAGCTCCAGTCCCCAAGCCGGGACTGCAGCTCCAGTCCCTTAGCCGGGACTGCAGCTCCAGTCCCCCCAAGCTGGGACTGCAGCTCCAGTCCCCAAGCCGGGACTGCAGCTCCAGTCCCCATGCCGGGACTGCAGCTCCAGTCCCCCCAAGCTGGGACTGCAGCTCCAGTCCCCAAGCCGGGACTGCAGCTCCAGTCCCCAAGCCGGGACTGCAGCTCCAGTCCCCAAGCCGGGACTGCAGCTCCAGTCCCCAAGCCGGGACAGCAGCTCCAGTCCCCAAGCCGGGACTGCAGCTCCAGTCCCCAAGCCGGGACTGCAGCTCCAGTCCCCATGCCGGGACTGCAGCTCCAGTCCCCAAGCCGGGACTGCAGCTCCAGTCCCCAAGCCGGGACTGCAGCTCCAGTCCCCAAGCCGGGACTGCAGCTCCAGTCCCCATGCCGGGACTGCAGCTCCAGTCCCCATGCCGGGACTGCAGCTCCAGTCCCCAAGCCGGGACTGCAGCTCCAGTCCCCAAGCCGGGACTGCAGCTCCAGTCCCCAAGCCGGGACTGCAGCTCCAGTCCCTTAGCCGGGACTGCAGCTCCAGTCCCCCCAAGCTGGGACTGCAGCTCCAGTCCCCAAGCCGGGACTGCAGCTCCAGTCCCCAAGCCGGGACTGCAGCTCCAGTCCCCAAGCCGGGACTGCAGCTCCAGTCCCTTAGCCGGGACTGCAGCTCCAGTCCCCCCAAGCTGGGACTGCAGCTCCAGTCCCCAAGCCGGGACTGCAGCTCCAGTCCCCAAGCCGGGACTGCAGCTCCAGTCCCCAAGCCGGGACTGCAGCTCCAGTCCCCAAGCCAGGACTGCAGCTCCAGTCCCCAAGCCGGGACTGCAGCTCCAGTCCCCAAGCCGGGACTGCAGCTCCAGTCCCCAAGCCGGGACTGCAGCTCCAGTCCCCAAGCCGGGACTGCAGCTCCAGTCCCCAAGCCGGGACTGCAGCTCCAGTCCCCAAGCCGGGACTGCAGCTCCAGTCCCCAAGCCGGGACTGCAGCTCCAGTCCCCAAGCCGGGACTGCAGCTCCAGTCCCCAAGCCGGGACTGCAGCTCCAGTCCCCATGCCGGGACTGCAGCTCCAGTCCCCAAGCCGGGCCTGCAGCTCCAGTCCCCAAGCCGGGACTGCAGCTCCAGTCCCCAAGCCGGGACTGCAGCTCCAGTCCCCAAGCCGGGACTGCAGCTCCAGTCCCCAAGCCGGGACTGCAGCTCCAGTCCCCAAGCCAGGACTGCAGCTCCAGTCCCCAAGCCGGGACTGCAGCTCCAGTCCCCAAGCCGGGACTGCAGCTCCAGTCCCCAAGCCGGGACAGCAGCTCCAGTCCCCAAGCCGGGACTGCAGCTCCAGTCCCCAAGCCGGGACTGCAGCTCCAGTCCCCATGCCGGGACTGCAGCTCCAGTCCCCAAGCCGGGACTGCAGCTCCAGTCCCCAAGCCGGGACTGCAGCTCCAGTCCCCAAGCCGGGACTGCAGCTCCAGTCCCTTAGCCGGGACTGCAGCTCCAGTCCCCCCAAGCTGGGACTGCAGCTCCAGTCCCCAAGCCGGGACTGCAGCTCCAGTCCCCAAGCCGGGACTGCAGCTCCAGTCCCCAAGCCGGGACTGCAGCTCCAGTCCCCAAGCCGGGACTGCAGCTCCAGTCCCCAAGCCGGGACTGCAGCTCCAGTCCCCAAGCCGGGACTGCAGCTCCAGTCCCCAAGCCGGGACTGCAGCTCCAGTCCCCAAGCCGGGACTGCAGCTCCAGTCCCCAAGCTGGGACTGCAGCTCCAGTCTCCAAGCTGGGACTGCAGCTCCAGTCCCCAAGCCGGGACTGCAGCTCCAGTCCCCAAGCCGGGACTGCAGCTCCAGTCCCCAAGCTGGGACTGCAGCTCCAGTCCCCAAGCTGGGACTGCAGCTCCCGTCCCCTAGCTGGGACTGCAGCTCCAGTCCCCTAGCTGGGACTGCAGCTCCCGTCCCCTAGCTGGGACTGCAGCTCCAGTCCCCTAGCTGGGACTGCAGCGGGCGGTGCAGTGTATTAGCGGGCGGTGCAGCGTATGAGCGGGCGGTGCAGCGTATGAGCGGGCGGTGCAGCGTATGAGCGGGCGGTGCAGCGTATGAGCGGGCAGTGCAGCATATGAGCGGGCGGTGCAGCGTATGAGCGAGCGGTGCAGCGTATGAGCGAGCGGTGCAGCGTATGAGCGGGCGGTGCAGCGTATGAGCGTGCGGTGCAGCGTATGAGCAGGCGGTGCAGCGTATGAGCGGGCGGTGCAGCGTAGATCTGCAAGCTTGGGGAGCGAAGAGAAGGGAGCGTAGTGAGAAATGGGATCTAGGAACCACCAGACTGACAGCCCCATGGGATGTACCAGGGCTGCCCTCTTCACCCCTCCTAAGCACCCATCATGTGACTCACAGCTCCATGATGCTTGGTAGTGATCCCAGGAAGTCCGGAATGGGTCCGCCAAACTGGTTGTTGCCAAGGTTCCTGAGGCGTGGGGAGGGAGAGGAAAAGGCGCACATAGGAGAAGTCTGTGCGTCTATGCTACATAGGAGAAGTCTGTGCATCTATGCTACATAGGAGAAGTCTGTGCGTCTATGCTACATAGGAGAAGTCTGTGCGTCTATGCTACATAGGAGAAGTCTGTGCGTCTATGCTACATAGGAGAAGTCTGTGCGTCTATGCTACATAGGAGAAGTCTGTGCGTCTATGCTACATAGGAGAAGTATGTGCGTCTATGCTACATAGGAGAAGTCTGTGCGTCTATGCTACATAGGAGAAGTCTGAGCGTCTATGCTACATAGGAGAAGTCTGTGCGTCTATGCTACATAGGAGAAGTCTGTGTGTCTATGCTACATAGGAGAAGTCTGTGCGTCTATGCTACATAGGAGAAGTCTGAGCGTCTATGCTACATAGGAGAAGTCTGTGCGTCTATGCTACATAGGAGAAGTCTGTGCGTCTATGCTACATAGGAGAAGTCTGTGCGTGGAACGTGTGTGGGTGGCTAGCATGTGGCACACACAGAGAGCATCACCGCAGCCTAGTGGGGTTGAAAACGCTTTGGAACCCGGCGTACGAGTGAAGAATGACTCAAGCGAGGCTTACAGGGTCTCTAGATACAACGAAAAGACCTGGGGAAGAGTCCCTGAGAGCCTGTTGGCGCTGAGGTTGCTGGTAGCAGGGCAACGCAGAGCACGACAGGCAGGGAGGGGTTGATGGGAGGTGTTCATTGAGTGCCGCCTTTCCGGAATTTTCAGGAACAAGGCAACAGAGCGAAGTGTCATGTCAGGGTGACACTGAGATGGGTGCAAGGAGCGAGTCACTCACAGGAAGGTGAGAGCCTTGAGAGCAGAGTAGCTTCCTGGAATGGAACCCTCCAGTTGGTTCCCTTGCAGATCGCTGAGAGAGGATAGAGTGAGATGAGAAGTGGTGGAAGGTCAGGGCGGCTGGATCAGGATTGCTCTTATGGAGCTTTAGAACAATCAACTCTTCTGAGCAGAATTCCTTGCAGATTGGTGAGAGAGAATCAAGTGAGAAGCAAGGTGGGTGGTGGACTGGCTGAGGGTTGATGATTATCAAATCAACTGAGCTCCTTTCAGAGCTCAGGGAAAGAACGGAGTGAGAAGGGAAGTGCTGAAAGGATGTGCGGGGAGTGGGGTGAGGAAGGACTGAGGAGTTGGACCCAAACACATTCGCACGCGCTCGGAGCACTGGCGATTGGCAGAAGCACTCACAGGCGTTCCAGTGCAGTGAGACCGCTCCACGTCTCTGGGAGGAAGCCTGATAGGCCGTTGCCAGCAGCAAGGCTGCAGCAAGTGAGGCAACGCAAGGTACAGCATGGGAGGCATGATCAGGTGCAGCATGAGAAGCTCAAGGTAAGACCCATGGGTGTGTGCCTAGAGGGTAGTGCAGTCAAAGGTAGACGAGAGTTGATTGAAGCTTCAGGAGCAGCTTGAGTAGCGGCAGCCGGTGCAGCAGCAGCAGCGGGAGCAGCGGCAGCAGAGACAGCAGCAGGAGCAGCACTGACAAGGTGCGGAGCGAGGAGAGGTGGTTGAGGTCACGTGGAATGTAGCCCCTGCGCTGCTCATACTGGTGCAACAGGTTTCTGTTATGGTTGAAACAGGAACAGGGGTGTTGGCGCAGGGGTGGGGGACAAGAATCAATGGGAGTAATAATGCGGCTCCAAAACTAGAAGCATGAAAACAACCTACTGACAGGAAAAGAAGACGGCATTCAGTGAGAGGGGGAGAGATGAGAGGGTGAGAAGGGTGGGTGCTCACATGTACTCAAGGCGTGTTAGGTCAACAATCCAGGTGGGGAAGTCGGAGAAATAGTTGTAAGATAGGTCCCTGGCGGTACAGAGGAGTTTGAGAGCGGTGCCAGGTGGTGGGGAAGTGGGAGAAGTTGGAGGAGTTGATGGAGTGGAGTGACGGGGAGTGCCAGCGAGCCACAAGGAGTATCAGGGAGTGAAAAGGGGTGAGGTCCACAATTTAGTGAAGAGGTTCGAGACGTGGTTGTACTATAGGTTCTTGAAGAGGGTGTTATTGAGAGCTTTTCCAAACGGTTCAAGTTGGTGAGAAGCGGTGAAAAACAGCTTTAAACCCCTGGGCATTACGAACAGCACAGCAGCATAAGGTGGGGCAAAATTCACGTTGAGAGGTGCAGGAGGGTTCAGAGGAGTCATTACAGGTGGGTGAGCTGAGTGAGGAAGCTGAGCTGATAGGGCAGCTCCCCCACGACTCTGCCCAGGTCCCCTAGCACACTGATGGGATAAGTAGGTGGGTTACAAGTTGGTGGGTTACAGGTACGGAAGCAGAGGAAGAGCTGAATGTGAGCAGGCAAACGTGGGAGGCATGAGGTCAGATATAGCAAGCTAATATAAAAGGTTTGGATGCCAGTGTAGCGAGTCGATTGCTGAAGTGAAGGAGCAGCTCTGGCAAGCAGGTATGCTATTGAGTCGACTCAAAAGGTAAGACTCACAGCTTCTGGAGGCGAGTGAGGGTGGAGAGACCACTAAGGGCAGTCATGTGGCCGTCTGACATGGCGTCGAATCCAAAGAGCTCCAGCGTGTGCAGGCGGGTGAGGAGAGACACGAAGGTGAGCGTGCTGATGGAGCCTCCCACCTGGGCGCCCTGCAGATGTATGTTGCTGGGGGATTGGGTGGTGATGGTGGGTGCAGTGTCACGTGTAGTATGGTGTGGTGCAGTGGGTAAACAAGAAGAGGGGGTGAGGAGGGACACAAAGGTGAGCAGTCTGATGGAGCCTCCCACCTGGCCGCCCTGCAGGTGAATGTTTCTGGGCGGTGGTGGGTGTGGTGGGTAGTGGAGGTTGGTGAGAGACGTAGCAGGAACGTTCAGTCATAGAAGCTTTGTTTAGGCGAGCTGCAGTCTAAAGAAAACCGAACTCTTATTCCAAAAACTCTGATGAGAGATGTCAGCCATAGAAGCTTTGTTTAGGCGAGCTGCAGTCTAGAAAAAATCTTTAGCAAGTGATAGACAGTAGTAAAATTTTGACCCTGTAAACAACCAGGAATCTGAGAAACCGAACTCTTATTCCACTATAGGATTAAAACGCGAACATGTTTCGGTCGACTGGGACAGGCCCCAAGTCAAACCTTCATCAGCGCTAGCAGAATCTTATTCCAAAAACTCTGATGAGAGACGTAGCAGGAACGTTCACAGAGGGGGTGATGGGGGTGATGGGGGTGATGGGGGTGATGAGGGTGATGGGGGTGATGGGGGTGATGGCGGTGATGGGGGTGATGGCGGTGATGGGGGTGATGGGGGTGATGGGGGTGATGGGGGTGATGGGGGTGATGGGGGTGATGGGGGTGATGGCGGTGATGGGGGTGATGGGGGTGATGGGGGTGATGGGGGTGATGAGGGTGATGGGGGTGATGGGGGTGATGGCGGTGATGGGGGTGATGGCGGTGATGGGGGTGATGGGGGTGATGGGGGTGATGGGGGTGATGGGGGTGATGGGGGTGATGGGGGTGATGAGGGTGATGGGGGTGATGGGGGTGATGGCGGTGATGGGGGTGATGGGGGTGATGGGGGTGATGGGGGTGATGAGGGTGATGGGGGTGATGGGGGTGATGGCGGTGATGGGGGTGATGGCGGTGATGGGGGTGATGGGGGTGATGGGGGTGATGGGGGTGATGGGGGTGATGGGGGTGATGGGGGTGATGGCGGTGATGGGGGTGATGGGGTGATGGGGGTGATGGGGGTGATGGGGGTGATGGGGGTGATGGGGGTGATGGGGGTGATGGGGGTGATGGGGGTGATGGGGGTGATGGGGGTGATGGCGGTGATGGGGGTGATGGGGGTGATGGGGGTGATGGGGGTGATGGGGGTGATGGCGGTGATGGGGGTGATGGGGGTGATGGCGGTGATGGGGGTGATGGGGGTGATGGGGGTGATGGGGGTGATGGGGGTGATGGGGGTGATGGGGGTGATGGGGGTGATGGGGGTGATGGGGGTGATGGGGGTGATGGCGGTGATGGCGGTGATGGCGGTGATGGCGGTGATGGGGGTGATGGCGGTGATGGGGGTGATGGGGGTGATGGCGGTGATGGGGGTGATGGCGGTGATGGGGGTGATGGGGGTGATGGGGGTGATGGGGGTGATGGGGGTGATGGGGGTGATGGGGGTGATGGGGGTGATGGGGGTGATGGGGGTGATGGGGGTGATGGCGGTGATGGCAGAGAGGGTGCGTGGCAGAGAGGGTGTGTGGCAGAGAGGGTGCGTGGCAGAGAGCGTGCGTGGCAGAGAGGGTGTGTGGCAGAGAGTATTGAGGTGAAGAGAGAGGCGTGGAAACGGGACCCACAGGTGGGAGAGCTTGGAGAGTGCAGTTAACGTGGACGGCAGCTCTCCTGATAGGGATGTGTATGCGAGGTCCCTGTGGGATAGATTGGGGGAGCATGGCAGAGGATTATGGAAACAGGATAAAACGGGATGTAGGGAAGCAGGGGCAAGGAAGCAGAGGCAAGGAAGCAGGGGCAAGGGAGCAGAGGCAAGGAAGCAGGGGCAAGGGAGCAGAGGCAAGGAAGCAGGGGCAAGGGAGCAGAGGCAAGGAAGCAGGGGCAAGGGAGCAGAGGCAAGGAAGCAGGGGCAAGGGAGCAGAGGCAAGGAAGCAGGGGCAAGGGAGCAGAGGCAAGGAAGCAGGGGCAAGGGAGCAGAGGCAAGGAAGCAGGGGCAAGGGAGCAGAGGCAAGGAAGCAGGGGCAAGGGAGCAGAGGCAAGGAAGCAGGGGCAAGGGAGCAGAGGCAAGGAAGCAGGGGCAAGGGAGCAGAGGCAAGGAAGCAGGGCAAGGGAGCAGAGGCAAGGAAGCAGGGGCAAGGGAGCAGAGGCAAGGAAGCAGGGGCAAGGGAGCAGAGGCAAGGAAGCAGGGGCAAGGGAGCAGAGGCAAGGAAGCAGGGGCAAGGGAGCAGAGGCAAGGAAGCAGGGGCAAGGGAGCAGAGGCAAGGAAGCAGGGGCAAGGGAGCAGAGGCAAGGAAGCAGGGGCAAGGGAGCAGAGGCAAGGAAGCAGGGGCAAGGGAGCAGAGGCAAGGAAGCAGGGGCAAGGGAGCAGAGGCAAGGAAGCAGGGGCAAGGGAGCAGAGGCAAGGAAGCAGGGGCAAGGGAGCAGAGGCAAGGAAGCAGGGGCAAGGGAGCAGAGGCAAGGAAGCAGGGGCAAGGGAGCAGAGGCAAGGAAGCAGGGGCAAGGGAGCAGAGGCAAGGAAGCAGGGGCAAGGGAGCAGAGGCAAGGAAGCAGGGGCAAGGGAGCAGAGGCAAGGAAGCAGGGGCAAGGGAGCAGAGGCAAGGAAGCAGGGGCAAGGGAGCAGAGGCAAGGAAGCAGGGGCAAGGGAGCAGAGGCAAGGAAGCAGGGGCAAGGGAGCAAAGACATGGTGCAGCATGCAAGAATTGCGTGGCACTCACAGGTGCTGGAGGTTGGTGAGGCGGGAGAAGGCTGAGGGAATGGGTCCAGATACTTGAGTGGCCGTGATGTCACTGGTGCAAGGGTATGCCATGCCACACCACGCCACACCGTGTCACACCATCCCACACCATGCAAAACCACGCCAAAACACAGCGCCATGCACATAAAAGGAGAAAGGGAGCACAGTGAGAGACTACAAGCCCCATAGAAAAGCTCTGGAACTGTTGACGGAATGGAAGGCGAAGCAGCTAAGAGGCGGCAGATGAGCGAGAGGCATGGATGGGAGTGAGCAGGGGGAAGGAATAGAGGAGGAGGCAGGCAGAGGCAACTCCCAGGCAGATGCGCCACGCCGGGCGTACTCACTCTTGCTCTCTGGGCATTCAGAGCAGGTATGTGCCAGGTTAGCCTGGTTCCTACTGGTAAGCCAGGTGGCACCTTAAGAAGCGGAGGCACACAGAGGTAGTTTACAGATAAGCGAGGTTGGTGAGGGTGGAGAGAGTGTGGGGCAAGGTGCATTGAGGTGATTTTTAATGCGCATCTAAAATCACCGCAAGGGCAGAGGGAGGTGGCGTACAGATAAGAGAGGTTGGTGAGGGTGGAGAGAGTGTGGGGCAAGGTGCATTGAGGTGATTTTTAATGCGCCTCTAAAATCACCGCAAGGGCAGAGGGAGGTGGCGTACAGATAAGAGAGGTTGGTGAGGGTGGAGAGAGTGTGGGGCAAGGCGCCAGACACAGCTGTGTATGAGAGGTCCCTGCCATGGGCGATCGGGCACAGCGCGAGAGGGGGCGCAAGTAGGGCCCTTAGCAGGGTTTGAGACAAGCATTGGGGGGTAGAGGTTGGGGTAGGACTGAAGGGTTGGATTGGGGGGAGGGGGTGAGGATGGAAGAGATGAGCGCTTATGGGACTGGTCAACAAAGGAGAGGTGGGCAGCGGAGGCCTTATGGGCATCACATTGCTTGCGGCCATGCAGACTCAGTCTGGTTAGCTTGGGGAAGATGCAGCTTGGGGAAGATGCAGCTTGGGGAAGATGCAGCTTGGGGAAGATGCAGCTTGGGGAAGATGCAGCTTGGGGCAGATGCAGCTTGGGGCAGATGCAGCTTGGGGCAGATGCAGCTTGGGGAAGATGCAGCTTGGGGCAGATGCAGCTTGGGGCAGATGCTGCTTAGGGAAGATGCAGCTTGGGGAAGATGCAGCTTGGGGCAGATGCAGCTTGGGGCAGATGCTGCTTGGGGCAGATGCAGCTGGGTGGGGGGGGATGGCATGCGGTGCCGTGCCTCCCGGTGCCGTGTGGTGCGGCTCGGTGCCGAGCCGTGCAGTGCGGTGCCGTGCAGTGCCGTGCAGCGTGGTGTGGTGCCGTACGGTGCGGTGCGGTGCAGTGCAGTGCCGTGCGGTGCGTCGCAAGGTCTCTTACAGGAAGGCCTCTTACACCACTGCAAGGTGTCTTACAGGAAAGCAAGGGCTGGTGGGAGGGCGACGGCATGCAGCTTTCCCTGGAGTTGAGGGCTGTTGGCCATGTTCCTGAATGGGGGAGGAGAACCACCAGCCCACACGCACATATGTGGCATGCAGGGAATGCAGGCAGGACTTACACAGGGGCGTGTGCAGGCACACCCATGAGTGGTCTCATACACAGTACGTGACTAAGCGCATGCAGCACATATACAGGTAAATATTGGCACGTACAGGCACGCACAGGCACGTACAGGCACGTACAGGTATGTGAGGCGCCATAGTTGGGCGAGTGCATAAGGAGGCAGCGAGCCCGACAACGTCCCCACTTGCGACAGGTCCCTGGGGCAGACACACGGGGGAAAGCACGAGCCCGGCAGGCAAGAACCCGGAGGGGCGAGAGGCAGGGGCCAAGAGCCCAGGTGGGGAAACAGAGATACGGAGTGAAAGAGGTCGGGAAGAGCTATGGGCCGCCTCGGGACGCATAACCACATGTGTATCGCTCCCACCCAGATTGTTGAGGCTTGTGACCCGCAGGGTGCTACCTTGTGTGACCTCACAGACTGCAGACAAGTCATTTCCAGGGGATTCACTCCCAGGCGACTCTTTCACATCTCAGGCGACTCTTTCTCAAAAGTGACTCAAACTTCTTTTTCTCTCAAAGGTGACTCACAGGCGGGTGACGAAGCCTCGAGCGTCGCAGGTGACCCCAGCCCAGTGGTTGCAGGAGAGCGAGTGCTGTTGCTGTTGCTGCCTGGCTTTAAACATTCTCAAAAGTGACACGGAGAATCTCCCAAAGCTGTCTTACAGGCGGGTGACGAAGCCTCGAGCGTCGCATGTGACCCCAGCCCAGTGGTTGCAGGAGAGCGAGTGGTTGCTGTTGCTCGGCCATGCCCTCACAGCACGATTGATGGCTAGCAGCGCACGCACTGAGAGAGGTGGTGCGGTGAAGGGAGATGGAGGGAGGTGGAAGACGGTGCATTGGCGAACAGGTGATGTGGATTTTGCGAGAGTGCATATGGAGAGAGGAGAGCGACGGACAGCAGCGGAGAACGCTGGGGTGGAACACGCAAGACAAAAGGGATATGACATTCAGATGAATGACATCTGATCTGAGGATATGACATTTTGGAAATAATAACCAAGGGAATGACGCTTAGGAGAACGACATTCAGGGAAGCGGCTGGGAAATAAGGGGATTAGCTGAGGTAGAAATGCGCCGATGTCAGGCTTCAAGGCAATGCCAGTGAGTCCATCCATACTAGATTCCAGACGCCTAGCCTGAGAGCTTCTAGACGTCTTTGCCTCTCATGTGTTAGGCGTCTCGCCTCTACAGCAATACCAGCGGTAAAATCCATGTCAGATGCGGATAATGGGGATAAGTGGAGAAAATGGGGACAATGGATGGGCCTCACGTTGCGAGGGAGCGAGGGGAATCGATCCGCGAAGAACGGCGAGCGAGAACTCGAGGAGGCCATGGCGGTGACCAGCGTTCTGAACGTTATACGCGATATTAGCTGCACCGCCGTGCGTATAGTTCGACGCTAGGGCCAATGCAATGTCTAGAAACAACAGGACGCTTACGGCAGCGAAAGTCATCCGATGTTGTTCCTTACAGACGTCTCTCATAGAAGATTAGAATGCGGAAGCTCTTATCGACTTAAGTAACGTTCTACCGACAGCCTTCCAGCGAGCGCTATCTCACAACCTAGATTCCGTCGAACGAAAAATGCCAGACTACCAGATAGCTGCTACTTCGCACGTTTCAAGACGACGACTGTAGCCACATGGAAATGACAGGCTAGTAGTGATCGCTGACGATCCTTATCGCCTATCCTGATACGCAACTCTTGGCGTCGGCGGGAAAACGCCACGAAGCAGGAACTGCTAAGCAGTTGTGAGGAACATACGCCTATGTTAGGAGCCTCGAGCGGGAGATAAATCAACCTTAGAATTTGTGCTTGGGATGGGAAAGTCGGTTGCATCGGCTTTGATTTTCTTATGCGGTGGAGTCGCGAAAGTCAACTCCATGCAGCCTGCCACCGATATACGCGGTGTTGAATGCCGCACTCACTTCTAATGCAGATAAGGTGCTGAAATTGACACGATATTGCAGTTGTGTGTTTAGGCTAAGAATGACTAGGAGTGGATTTAGAAAAAACAAGCCATGAGTTTGGGGTGAACCTATCTTCCATTTCTGTTTGAAAATGCTGCCAGCACGCACAATGCACTACGCGTAAGACCAGGTAACAGATCGGGGGAAAGAAAAATATTGGTGACATCGAAGGCCAGCTGTATGGCAACAGCTAGCAGGTCACTCCACTTCTGCCAGATAGTCATTCACTTCAGCTGGGGTTAGCACTCTGTAATCGTCAGAGAGCACGTACACAGGAAGACGTACATAAGACAAAAGAGGGGTTCAGGTGAGAAGACAGGCTCAAATTAAAGTCCAGGAAAGAAAATACTTCCATCTCGTCGCGAGATGCAGGGCAACATACAAAACATATTCCCTATTGAACTTCTTCCCCTTCTTTCGCTCACTCTAGCACTCACCTGAACTTCTTGTCGCTGCCCACAATACCAATCTCAATGTTGTCGCCTGCAATTTGCCCCTCAAACCTGGCAAAAGAGTGCAACATGGGAGGGGGAGGAGGAGGAATTTAGAGCTGAGGATGGCAGAACCCAAGAACAGCCAGACAGAGCAGAAACAACCAAGAAACTTCCCTTCAAGTCAAGAGGCATAGTGCTTCACAAGACGACACTCTTTCCCAGCACAGCTACAAATAACCTTACATTCCGTGAGAGTAAGAGGGGCCACACGTACCCTTCTTTAAGAGTGAGAATGGCCGTGTGAATTGCATCCTCTAGCTCCATGTCCTCCGTGTACCTGATGCACGCACGCCCCGTACAAGCACGCCCCATACAGGCATGCCCCATATACAGGCATGCCCCATACAACCATGCCCCATACAACCATGCCCCATACAAGCACGCCCCATACATGCACACCCCACACAATGAGACAGAAATTTACGGAAACAAAAAAAAAAAAACAGAACTGGACGCTTCCCTTGAAGCACCAGCAACCGCCTGTGGTGAAAGAAAAAGGCGACGATTTTTTTTCACATGCCTTTGGCTGGTGCCAATTCACAATTGCCCCTCCTCACCTCTTCTCGAGGAACGTCTTGGCGTTGGTCATGTTCTTGCCAATGGCAGACGCCTTCCATGCGAAGTAGGAACCAGAGGGGTCCACCTGGTAGAGGTGCGGGCCCTGTGAGTCATACCCCGCCATCAGCAGTGACACACCGAATGGCCTCACTCCCCTGCGAGAAGGAGAGGCACGTGTGGGCATATGTGCATGCGAGGGAGGGAGGAGAGGGCATGGAGGGAGGCATGTATATGAGAGCCTGAGGGGTCCACCTGCTACAGGTGCGGGCCCTGTGAGTCATACCCCGCCATCAGCAGCGACACACCGAACGGCCTCACTCCTCTGTGGTGATGCAAGGTGCATGAGGTTACGGTACATGTGTCAAGTGGGTATGGTGCACATGCAAGAACAAGTGAGAAGAACAAGGGAGAGGTTGAGAGAGGTTGAGACATGAGAAAGGCCCTAGGCATGAGAGAGGCTCATTGATCATCTTTGCCTTCGCTCCTCCTCCTCATGTGCCCTAGGCATGTTACACAGGTTCACGTTCCAACACTGTTAGAAGCCAGACTTGCCAACAAACCTGCCATTGTGGATTACAGATTCACCTGACCTCATAGAACCCGGAATGCCCTCCTCACCCGGATTGAGTGAACTCCTGCATGACCGCCGCTGTCTCCCGCACCAACTGCGACACCGGAATGCCCTCCTGCCATGTGCACGGCGAAGCAATGCAAAGACATGCAAAGGACAGAGCGCCTCAAAACTAGACTCCTGCATGACCGCTGCTGTCTCCCACACCAGCTGCGACACTGGAATGCCCTCCTGCCACATGCACGGGGTGGGTCACATGAGCATGCAAGGACATGAGGATGAGCAAGACTATGAGCATGTGTGGCAAGACTATGAGCATGTGTGGCAAGACACGTGGTGGTGAGCAGCAGCTGTGACACCGGAATGCCCTCCTGCCACATGAATGCACGGCGTGGTGCCACAAGGACGTGAGAGGGACAGGGTGGGCCAGGCAAGGGGATGAGCATGCACCAGAGTGGGCAGGGTGGGGCACTTGGGAGGAGGCGTGGCAGAGGGCTGGGAGATAGGACCGAGAAAGTGCATTGCAAGACAAGGGGTGGTGGGAGCAACGTGAAAGCATATTATGCTTATTGCACGCGTTACCCTGCACTAGCTATAGCATGTCTCACCTTGTACACACTGTAATAGGACTGTGCTGACTTGCGGCTCTTCCTCACGAGCACCCGAGAGTCAGGCCCGATGCCACTGGTGGTGGTGGGGGGACACAGGGAGGCGTCGGAAAAATGCGGGAGGTGGTGAGGTTTTATAATCAGCGCCAAAATCACCTCAAATGCGGGAAGTGGTGAGGTTTTCTTACTCACAGCACATGTGAGTGAGGCCGTTTGAGATACATGGTGCATGGGTGTATGGGCGCATGCGGGCGCATGGGTGCATGGGTGCATGGGTGCATGGGCGCATGCGGGCGCATGGGTGCATGGGCGCATGGGTGCATGGGCGCATGGGTGCATGGGTGCATGGGTGCATGGGTGCATGGGTGGATGGGCGCATGGGTGCATGGGCGCATGCGGGCGCATGTTCACAGAACAGGACTGTGTTGGGTTGGGAGACAGGCACACCTGTAGACGACTCCTAAGTTGTCTGTCAGCAGTTGGATCTTCTTCACCTGACACACACACACACACACACACACACACACACACACACACACACACACATGCGTGGACACCACAACCACCACAGAGGCATAAATATACACCACAATCGCATAAGGATTTTATTACACTCTGACGCCCACAGTCTGAGAACACAAGTGGGTCGACAATCAGTACCCACTCAAACGTTTACCGAATCCATCAATCAGCGCTGTAAAGGCGTCTTTCCTATCTCCACCCCTCACCAACCACAACTTACATAAACCAGCAGTGGGAATTCCCCATAAAAACGAGCTTTCACCATCCATCAACCTACTGCCGTATGTGAACCAGCAGACGACTTGCCTAAGAGCCAGAAAGAGGCGTACCGATGTCTCGTCAATGAGCGCGGTGGGGAGCCTTCACCATGTACCAATCTACTGCCATCTGTGAATCAATGTAGACATTGCCTGGGCGCAAGAAAGAGGCGTACCGAGGTCTCGTCTATGAGCTCTGTAGGAAGCTTCTTCTCTGTAGCGATCACCACGCCGTTGGTCGCTGCGACGATGGGATGCGGGAACGGAGGGATGAAATTGAGGGTTGAGCGAGCAAGGGGGTTGAGCAGGGAAGATCAAGTGACGAGTGGCCTTGCGTTACAATAAATCCTTTCAAGCCGACTCAGAAACGGCTCGTGAGGACGCCTGTAGCGAGTATGACAGCGTTGGTGGCCTGACGCGGACGGAACAGCGCGCACCTTTGATGCCGAGCGACGTGGCACCGGCAGCTACGGCGTTAAGCGCATACTCGATCTGCACCAGCTTCCCTGACGGACTGCGAAGGACGAGGAGATGGGGGAGGTGCACAAAAATTCGGTCAGGAACGGAACTGGCAGCGACCCGTTAAAAAACCTGGAAAATGTAACTGCAAGTTCATGTCGACAGAATCGCAGTAGAGGAGGGAAGGACGGGAGTACGGAGGATGAGGTATGCGGAATTCTCCACCTGAAGGTGGTGAGGGAGAAGGAGTATTGACTATCGCCCATGACGTCGCCGGATCTGCGACGGCTCGATGCGACTTAGATGCGACTGAATTCGAATTCGTCGGAAGCGACGGAATACGGTATCGCCTAAGTGACCGAGCGAAATCGACGATAGCACCGGCGCGCTGGATGTCTGTCGGACAACACACGGGCGTCACTTGGCGAGCCTATCACGCCGTCGATCTGAGGAATGAGAGCTGAATGTGGGACTACAGCTGTAGAGGAATGGGATTCTTCAGATACGGTAGCTGCTTCATGATGCAAGCTCCTGGCAAAAATGGTGTCACAGAGATGCTTGCTTTGTGTTTGACGAATTGGGTTGAGTGCAATGCCGTGCATTTTGAAGCGGTGACACGCTTCACCGTTCTGAACCGCTGGTGTTACACCTGTCCCTCGTGAGGTCTCAATGGACTCCCAGAATTTTGTACGAGTACGGCTACAGTTGCAGTGGACACAACCTGGTTGATTTAACTAATCGAGCCTCCAATAACGGATCACTCTGAGAATTTCATGGAGTCATCAATAATGGAGCAAGCTAGGCGCCAATTAGGGATTTCTGCTTCCCCCTGTAGCAACTGACTAGTCTCTGCTCTTACCTTTTCGCAGCCGCCGCTTCAGGAACTCCGCGTCAGCTGCGCCGTGTGTACCGCGCGCACTTAACTCTCAGAGTCGTTGTAAATATCACGAACGAGGTAGGCGGCATGAAGTGGGCAAATCTCGAGCCGTTGATTTCCGCGATTCGCGCATTCGTCCCCGAGCTCGCGTCGGCGAAGCACAAAGGCCAAGCGGGTAAGCCACTCGCATTCAGGTCGTGTTTCCCGCCTTGCAACCTCTAACATGCGGTTTCTATTGCTGATCCCGCCTAGCGGCATGGCCAGGCGGCCCCATAAGAAAACCATGCCGCTCCGCATTCTCTGCGTTTCCGCACCTCTCATTACAGGGAAGATCGCTGTGATTGGAGGGTGCCGCGAGTACACGGGAGCTCCTTTCTTTGCCGCCTTTTCCGCGCTCAAGCTGGTGAGCGCCTCTCAAGCTGTGCTGTACATATTATGACCACACCTACAAATTAGGCACCAACAGTGAGAGGCGCTCACCAGCTTGAGCGCCTCTAACGCTGCGAAACTGGTGGCCAACAGTAGGTGGGCGAGTCTCTAAAGCGGCTGGGCCAGTCTGTGTAGCACCTCTCACACCGTTGTTTCCGGCCAATGCTCCCGTTCCTGTTCCACTTTCCCTTATCCCATCTCTCAACATTGTCTCTATCGTCATTATTGCCTCCATCCCCTTCTTATAATCACGCAGGGTGCAGACATCGCCCACGTGTTCTGCTCACGAGAGGCCGCACCAGTGATTAAAGCGTACAGCCCAGAGCTTATTGTGCATCCGGCACTCAGGGAATCTTATGATGTCAAGTGAGCAAATATTTCTGTTCCCCTTGTCCTACTGAATGAAGTTCTGCCTGTGTTCCCCTTGTCCTACTGAATGAAGTTCTGCCTGTGTTCCCCTTGTCCTACTGAATGAAGTTCTGCCTGTGTTCCCCTTGTCCTACTGAATGAAGTTCTGCCTGTGTTCTCCTTGTCCTACTGAATGAAGTTCTGCCTGTGTTCCCCTTGTCCTACTGAATGATGTTCTGCCTGTGTGAAAATCTTGCAGGACAGCGCTCAGCGCTGCTATTTGTAGATGCCCGGAGATTTTTATCTTGCCTCATCCCTTGATTCCAGGCTCGACACACCAGGTCAGCGAAAAGAGATCGTCGACGCAGCTGTAAAGACGGTTTCTGATTGGCTGCCGCGGATGGACTGCGTTGTGATTGGGCCAGGCCTGGGCAGGGACTCGCTGCTGCAGGAATGTGTGGCTGACATCATGTCTGCCGCCCGGCAAGCGAGCATCCCCATGGTGATAGATGCGGTGAGTTGTACACATAACTTTGGCACACATCTATCCTCCACGTACCCAGTCACGCCACTGTTTTCAACGCCCTTTCTATCTCACACCACTTGCCTTATGATGCCCTTGCAGGACGGTCTGCACCTGGTGTCCAACCAGCCTCATCTCATCTCCGGCTACCCCCTCGCCATACTCACACCCAACGTCAATGAGTTTGCTCGCCTCTCTCAGGTTGTTGCATCTCAGTGTGATTCCACAGCAGCTGCTGCAGCTGTTATTTCTGGGCCTTCCAACCCTGGCAATTCGCTCGCCCAGCTCGCAGCAGAGTGAGTACTTGCCTGTAACACTAAGAAGCATTCCATTGCGATGTCCTGGTTAGTTGCAGCACCAGATCTTTATCCTGACTGATTTGCCGTGCGTTTCATCCTCTCTACCCAACTGCAGCCTTGGAAATGTCACCATAGTGCAAAAAGGAGCAGCTGATGGCATTTCGGATGGAAATGCAGGTACTGAGCTGCTTTCTCGTGCGTTACCACTGCAACCCTTCGCACACCTCTCAAACTCGCTGTGTCCCTTTGCCATCCCACCAGTTTTCGAGTGCAGCCTATTTGGATCCCCCAGGAGATGTGGCGGGCAAGGGGATGTGCTTTCAGGAAGGTACGATGCAATCCCTTCCTTAGCGCTCTGATGCAATTGATAACCGGTTCGCAAGTGCCGTGTTGCTGCACTGCTCATCACCTCATCACCTCTTGACATCTTTACATTGAATGTGCAAGTTTCCTGTTTCCAGCATTGCAGTGTTTTTTGTCTGGGCTTGCAAGTGGCAGCAGCGGCTACAAGAACAACAGCAGCAGGGGGGTGTTCCATTTGACGATGAAATGCAGCAGCTGGTGGCAGAGCAGCTGTCGGACAATCCAGCAGTCCTGGCAGCGTTTGCCGGGTCGCTGGTGGTGAGGAGAGCGGCAGCAGATGCCTTTGCCAAGCACAAGCGCAGCATGACTACTACCAACATCATTGAATGCCTTGGCGACTGGTAAGGAATTACATCTTCGTAAGTTGTTCCATGAACTCATGATGCCGTGCTTTTTTCCCTCACTTACCTTACAAGTTACAATGTTTCTTGTATGTGTGGTGTCTTTAGTGTACTGTTCGCCCTCAACAGTTTTGAGGACCTTTTCCCTGTTGGTCCATGGGAGCCACAGCCAAACCTGTGATGGAAAATGTGGATGATCTGGGTCCAATCCGATTGTAAGCTCTGTTTCATCCAATCCGATTGTAGGCAATGTGAGAATCAAATCTATATCATCAGGCTGTAAAACAAAGTGTACAAATGTTGTATGAATGCAGCTAGTATCAAAAGAAACATGTGACACATGCTATCTAAACCCTCAACAGAGATCCCAAAGAATCATAATCATGTGTTTGGGTCACAAACGACGCCGGAGGGAGATAGCAATCCGAAGGACAGGTAGCTTCCTAGGAAAGCCTTGCCCTCAACAAGCCTTCTACGAGGCATTCTCCTGTTCCTGTCCCACCTTGCGTCCCAGCACATCACGCAGGAACGGCCAGCGGAAGTGTGCCTGGGAGCGAGTGAGCAGCGGCACTCCAAATTCCATATTGGGGCTCTGCAACACACAACATCACCACATTAGCACAATCATACGGCAACGATGCAATAATCAAAGCAACCAAGATGGAAAGCCGCATGTGTCGAGTTGCAAAAACTTCCTTATGCATCTTACCATTGTGCAGATGCCAATGTCAGTGCGGCAGACGGGGTACTGCTGAGGGCAGCAGTGGTGGTGGTCGTCACAGCAGGTGGCATGCTCCATGGGGCAGCATCCCCACGACAGGCACAGTTTTCCAAGAGGGAGACCACAGCAGCAGGTAGTTCCGTGAGGGCACTCGTGCTTGCGGTCACACACCTCAGGAGAGGGAGGAGGAGTGGGAGGAGGATGAGGGCCGGGAGGTGGGTTGGGACCCTTCTTGATAGGGTAGGATGCCTGCATAATGCCAACCACGAGAGGTTGAATGGCCGCACGGAAGAGCCAACAAGATTCTCAACTACGCCACGTGGGGGATCAATAGAATTGAACCAAGTGTCTAACATGGCTTCGTACCTGCATGGCAATACCGCACTGGCCTTCCTCAGCTTCAACGTTCCTGACCAGCCTGATGAAGCCGTGGTCACCCCAGCGAGGACCCCACGAGTTCTTCACAATCCAGTAATCTGTTCCGTTCTCTGTGCCGTATCCGACGGCCAGGACGCCATGGTCCAGATCTGTGCCACATTCGCCGTCGAAAATACCCTGCAAGATTGCAAGCTTTTATGTTAGCTTTGCCAAGAACAGGGAAATGCTACGCTTAGTGTAGGTTGTTCGTCTAGCGCCACTTACGCTCGAGTAGAACTGGAATTCCCGGCGATCCGCCTCGATTGCGACGGAAACAGGCTGCGCTGCAAGCGCCTTCTTAAGGCCAGCCTCGCTGTTGGAAGGAACGTCTTCGTAGTCGTCAATTGTGACAACGTGGGTGTTCATCTGTACGTGAAACGAAGGATCTGTGTCAGTTCATGGTTCCTTGCAAATACACGCGTCGTGTTGATTTGTTTTAGAGCAATCACTTACCTTCGCCTTGTTGCACTTGTGAGCTGTTGCGTCGTAAGGATAATCCTCCTCCGTGTCAAGACCGCCGTTCTTAATGATGAATTCGAACGCGAAGTCCATGAGTCCACCACCACATCCCTGATCCTTCTTCGTGTCGCAGTCAACCAGCTCCTGCTCTGACAGCGAAATCAGCTCGCCAGTCACAATCTTGTTGATACCTTCGACAGCTCCCGTAGTCGAAAATGCCCAGCAACTCCCTGAAAACACCGAATATTTCGAAATCAGCCAGTGCCTGTGAGATTTGAAAAACTTTCGCGACGAGTTGATCTAAAAGGCAAAACAAAAAAATTAAGGCATTATGGTGAAAGGATAGTGACATACCGCATTGACCCTGATTCTTGACGTCAGTCACCGCTCCCTCCTTCCGCCAGTCGACTTCCTCCGGAGCGTTGACATCAGCGTGCATGAAGTTTCCGCGAAGCGGCCTGCTGCTGCGAGAATCCATGTCCTTACGGAAGCCCAAGTGTGACGACTTGAACTCCTCGTGTGACAAATGAGCGAACTCATTGAGAGCAAGAGTAAACTTCTTGCCCTGCGAGTTCAGGTTGTGAACGAAGTGCAAGTTATCCACGAACGTGCGGAAGCGAGACTCCTTCTCGGCAACTCCGAAAACCTTGCCGTGCTCCACGGACCATCGCTCGAATAGGGCCTGCAGCGAGACTTCATTTGATAAGTCCGAAGGAGCGTAGCCGAGATCGGCACTAGCGGCGCTGACCAGACAGCACCAAGCAACCAGAGTTACGACCAGCGTAGCAGACGCCATTGCAGAAACCGACACCCAAGAAACTACCGAGATCAAACTGAGGATGACAGACAACAGACAGAATATCCCTTGTAAGTTCCTGTGTGACCCTGGACACACCACCTGCCCTCCTTCCTTCCCCTATTTTCCCAAACCAAGCTGTCTTGTTGATGTCCCCACCCTTGGGAACTGCAACGGTTGAGACCTTGAAGTTCGGGAGCTCGCGAGACTCAAGAGAATCGCAACTGACGACTTCTCTACGTTAGCGAGCTTCGCGCATGCGCGAAAATGTCGCTCCTGCTCTTATCACACACGGCTGTCATGTCAACCAGTCCCAGCCAGGTTCAGAGTCCAGAGTGAGGGGCAGATGTGGCATGGCTGACACAACGCTACGTGTACAACAGCAAAAGTAAGCTCAGCCTGGTCCCCACTGACAACTTTTCGCAGTGGCTTTTCTCGCGATTGGAGGATAATGATGGAATCCACCAAGATATCGCCACGCAGCACTACTTTGAGATAGAGCCGTCGATTTTCGAAACCTCTTCGAGCAATCCGAAGGCGCCACTGTCAGGCGGGCAATCCAATGGCTTCGAATCGAATGGCTTGGATTGAATTCAATGATCAGTCAGTCAGAATTGAAATTGTGCGAGTTCGGTCCCAACCACACAGGACAATGCCTGAATCGTCTGAATCTAACTGGGCCGTAACAAACCCCTGTGGATGCCATCACTGAGCATCAACGGGCCTGCCATTTGGTACAAAGCCACACCACGTTTGTCTGGAGAAGCTCTGTGCGAGTTACAATGTGCTTCGCCGGTGTCGCCAGTCTGCGAAACTCTGGACGACAATCTCTCGTCATCAGAGATTCGCAGAAGAAGCCTGCTCACCAAAGCACCAGTGCTATTTGCATCTGCAGGTAGCAGATTCAGTTGGAGCTTTCTAGATTAGCGCTAGAGGGGGCAACGACGGAAATTCGATTCAACAACTTGTTTCACGGCTACTACCATTGGGAGGGTTCTCCGGATAGCGAGGCCAGTTTGAAATTCGTGCAATTTCGGGGCCACGTTTCAAACTATCCCAGCAACGGCGTTGCGTCATATACCCTTCATATCGACAATCAATGCTCGCAGTCTTCGACGTTCGCCCCTCCTAATCACGTATGCTGGTTTCCGTTGAAGCAGCTAGGGGTTGACTTAGCCAATGATCGCCGTAGACATGTCGTCATCGGGCCGGAGAGGGGAGAGCGGAAGCAGGTAAAACGGATCAATCGCTTGAGATGCGGCAAAGAGGGGTATCGCTTAGTAGCAAGGACATGGGAGGTCACGAGCAGGAGAGGAGGCGGAGGAGGGGTAGTATGGAGAAAGAGTCATGAATGTCGTATCCGATGCTACCGTATGAGACTCGACGGACACATTTGTTCATTCTGCGTATGAGGGGCATCCGCGTTTGTTCATTTTGTGCTGTTACCTGCTTCCGCTCCCCCACCTTCCTCATTCCACGCAGCGGTAGCCTTACGTCTGAGCCTCGCTGATCTGGCTTCGGCATGGCCGAGCCTGTGACACTGGGTCGGTTCTTTGGAGCGCTGGGCAAGACATGGGCGCTCATAGGCGCGCTCTACCTCTTTGACAAGTACTCGCCTCTTGGCTGGTGGACGTTCAAACCTCGCCCTAAGGTGACCTGGTTTTCATTGCTTTGTCTGCACACACGTACCATCATTTGATTGATACATGCCATCACATATTCAACCTGGTACACCATTCCTTCTCATATGGTCACCTTCTCTCCGTCTTGCTAAGCCCCTTCCCCATCCCCCTCCTCCACCCCACATTCCCCCTCCACCCCACAACCCCCCGCCCTACAACCCCCCCTCGCTCTCCCTTTCCCCCTCCCGGTGCTTCCGTTCCTTCGTCCCTTACCGCCACTGAACCACTTGCAGGAGGAGAGGGCCATGGCGCACTTATACGAGAGGGGCCCCACGCCCTTCCCAGGGGACGCAGCAGCAGGCGATCCACACGCAGTGGACCGGTACTTTGAGCGCGGCGGCGTGGCAACCACCGTCGTGCCAGCACGGTTTCGCCAGTCCTCCTCTGCTGGGAGCTCTGGTGCGGACGTGGAGGGGCGGCGGGCGGCGGAGGAGCAGCGGGTGAAGCGGGAGGCGCTGAGGCTGTGGCTGCGCATGAGGAGGGAGGCAGAGAGGGAGCTCAAGGCACAGGGCTATGATCCGATGCAGTGAGGCTGTGAGGGGATGGGGGCGTAGCTTATGCGATGAGGAGAGCACTCATGGGGTCGGAAGAAGTGGTGGATTCATGATTTGGAGGAATAGTGGCTTGTGAGAGGTGTTGATGCTGTGGCTGTGTTGGGTTAGGAAGCAGACCAAAGGGGGTGATAGCATTTTAGATTCGCATTGAAAGTCTTTTAGAATAGGGCGTGAACTCAGGATTCAGCTGAATCATTCCGTCCGTGCACAAGCCGCACCAGCATTCGTGCCTGGCTGAATCTCAAACCAGAAAAGTCATGGAATTATATCAAGCGATTGGATTGGTTGGTGCATCCTTCTACATCTCAAACTCTACTGTATCATCATCACTCTGGTGGGTTGGTTGGGTGGGTGATGGGTTGGTTGGGGGTGGGCTGAGCAGTCGTCTTGAATTTTGTGGTTGATTGGGGGGCTGTTGGTTGATGGGTGGTGGTTTGAGTGTGTTGGGTGGTGGTGGAGTGGTTGAGATCAGGGCTAATTTATGGAGCGGGGGGTGGCTGGTACTCGCTTCAGGGTAAAACTCGCTAAAAGAATCGGGAACACTGAGGCGACAGTGTGCCTTATTCGTAAACCCTGGCACATCAGGGAAAATCAAGGTCCCAAAAAAATTACCCTACGGCATCAGTGTTACACCCAAAAACCACCCTGATAATCAGGGTATCAGGGTGATTTACCCTGAAAAATTAGGGCCTGGTTGAGATGCGTCGGGATGAGCAATGGGCTGGACAGGAGGGAAGGGATAATTAGAGTAGTGGAGGCAGGACGGGGTGAAGAAGACAGGCTGAGATGGTGGAGAGAGGGTGGAACGGGATGGTATGGTAACTAGGGTGGAGAAAGGGCGCGACAATCAACAGCGAGCGTACGGTATGAGTGTATGATAACGGGTGCAGGCAGGTGCGTTCTGAAAAAATGCAAAACAAGAATGTATATATAAAAGAAGCCACCACCATAGGAGGAGTTAGGAAGATCTAGAGGTATTTCTTTGTCATGATTATGTAATATTTTGTCTTAAGAAAACTTAATTGGTCCTCGCTGTATATAATAATTGCATAAGGAAGCTCCACAGATTCCTCGGTTTCAGGGGACAAATCGAACGGCGCAGAATGGTTCAGAAAGCTGCCACACCACAGGTTTGGTCAGGATTCATGGAGGAAATGGATGGTGATTCGAGGGTGTCTGATGCCACGTCACGAGATCCCTTCGAGCATTCATTTGCTCGGGTCAGAACTACATAGCTATATCAGTAACCACGAGCCACTAATCGTTCGCCACACCAGAAGGTATTGCAGCTTTCGCCAGTCTTCGCCACTAGGAATTTCACCCACAGCTTGTCTGGTCATCAAGCCTCACACAAATCAGAGCTACACAGAAGTCCTTCCCGCCTGCGAAGCAGGCAAGCGACCCAATTTCAATCACAACGGCTCTCTTACACGGCTAGGGTTTGGTGGCCTCATTGGCCAGCACCGACCGTTCGAATTCGAGCAACGCGGGGGCAGATGTCGAACTGGCGGAATGACGGATCCCCTGGTAGATTTACGAATCGACGGTCGAAAGTTGTAGGCTTTTCGTGTGCTCCTTCCGAACCTTGATTCCCGCTTCCGTCAACGGATCCTTTCTGGGGGATCTCCTGATTCTCCTTGTCGGCGCAGCCGCTTGACGGCGATTGAGACACGTGACGGAGTGTAGCAAACGGAGGGTTGCAAATCCACCTGAACCGCACAATCACGTGACACGTTGGAAGTTGGAGCTACGGTTGAGATTGAATCTAGCCCCAACCTCCTCAGAGATTATCATTTTAGAACCGTTAGATTCAGTCTTTGAGAAACCGTTGTCATTCCGGGTTGATAGTGAGCCTCAATCCGTGACCCATCGCCTGATTCTGGGCCGTTCTCAGCCATTTTCGACTCGATTTCTCTCCAACATGGCTCATTCTGCTCATTTTGCTACCTGAGAGCATTCTCCTTCGTCTTGCTAGCGAAGCTCTTCCATTTTGTTTCTGGTAGCCGTAAGTCTCCGCTCACATCGAAATCGTTACTCATTTGACATTGGGATCTTCGCGAATCAGCAGCCAAATCGCCAAGCTGCACTCAGTTCGTTGTGCAGTTCCAGCATCCGAATTTCGGTGTGTACTTCGTCGCTGATTCGTAATTTCTTGCAGATTTTAGCTTGTTCTTCACATGCGAGATTTAACTAACCAGATTGCGATATTTTTCGCATTGCAGGTATTTTCCACGTTCACAGACCACTTGAACTCGACTTCGACGCGCTTCAGCGATTTGTACATCTTCGCCAAGCTGCAGTGAAGTCGTCACGCAAAAGTCAGCGATTTCTGGTGAGCGTCTTTCCTTTCGCCGCTTTCAGTCCGTTACTCATCGTTTGTAGTAATATCCGTAGCCTATTCTCACCTCGTCTTCAACCAACTTATATTTATTTTTTCTTGATATTGTGCAGTTCTGCTCACGCTGTCTCGCTAAGCAAACAATCGGCGGCCGCTTCTTATGTGATTAGGCGTCACCAGTTTGTGGTTTCGCGTTTTTTGGTGAGGTTTTCGTCGTCCGCGCATCGTCGCGATTCGTCGCATGGCGTAATCTTCATCCGCGAATCGTTGCATGGGGAAATGGCCGCGCATCAGCAGCATCAGCTCTCCCTCGGCCCTTCTTCAACCGCCAGCTAAGTGCCTTCTTCAACCCTCGCACTCCGTTGCTTTTTGTGCTCGCACCATGCATCACACTCCCTCTTTCACTGCCCTCTGTCACACCCATGA